AAAAGACCGTACCCTTTTATGTAATGATGTTTACTTTGAATTTATATTAGTGCACACAAACACTCCATCCATGCTTTTGTTCCGGCCCTCCGGTCCAGTTTAAGAACCCATTGTGGCCCTCGAGTCAAAAAGTTTGCCCACCCCTCCTCTAGAATGTCCCATTGTTTCCACCCAGGCTGCTTTATTCATTTATATTATCTTCCCAGTTCATGTAAGCATTTGTAATTGCATTCCCTGACTGACTGGTTAAACTCTGAATTCTTTATTATGATTTACAAGAACAACCACAGGTACCAACCTACCTTTCCAGGTTCACATCCCCATCCTCCACTCTATATACCCTCTTGCCCTCAGTCTTAGGAAACATTAGTTAAATATAACATGCTCCCATGTTCCCTGGAATGCTTTGCTCACCTTTTAATCCCCTGTGAAACATTTCCTAGCTTGCCCTGACCAAACTGATATACTTCTGGACTCCAATAGTAAGTGGCACATCTCTGGACCTACACTTTTGTTTTGAAATTATTTGTGGACAGGCCTGTGTCCTTCATTACGCTGTACACTGGCAGGGAAATGAACCAGAGCTCATTGATCTTTGCATCCCTGCCTCATAGCTGGAACATGCTCAGTAAGTATATGTTGAGTAAAGAGTGGATGGGCTGTGTTTTCTGTCTGGGAGCTCTGTTCTTTGCATTTTGCCCATGGTTAGAGAGCCAACAGTAAAATCAGAGGGAAGGGCAAGTGTTTTCCTTAGTATTCATAGTTTACAGCAGAAAACACTGCTTCTGGCTGTGACTTAAAAAGGGCCCTTGGCAGTCAGAGGCCATCCATGGGTACTTTAGTATCTATAGACCCAAGGCACTAAGCCAGGGGTCCTCAAACTTTTTAAACAGGGGGCCAGTTCACTGTCCCTCAGACCGTTGGAGGGCTGGACTATAGTTTAAAAAAAAGCTATGAACAATTTCCTATGCACACTGCACATATCTTACGGGCCGTAGTTTGAGGACCCCTGCACTAAGCCAAGCCAGAGCCAGCTCTGTGAATCTTTTTGAAAATTTTATTTTTAAACTAGAGGCCTGGTGCATGACATTCGTTCCCTGGGGAGGCGGGCCCTCACCCCGCCTGCACCCTCTCACAGTCCAGGACCCCTTGGGGGGAGTGGGCCTAAGCTGGCAGTAGGACATCCCCCAAGGGGTCCTTAGCACTGCCTGGGGGCTGGAGAGGCTCCCACCACTGCCACTGCGCTCCCCAGTCCTGAGCCCAGCTTCTGGCTGAGTAGCGCTCCCTGACCACTAGGGGGCAGCTCCTGTGTTGAACATCTGCCCCCTGGTGGTCAATGCATATTATAGTGACCCATCTTTCTGCCATTCCGTCAATTTGCATATTAGGGTCTTCTTATATAGGATTAGTATACAGTAAAATCAATATGCTGTACAGTTCTGTGAATTTGGTCCCATGGATAGATGAGTGTGACCACAATCATAATTAAGATAGAGAACATCACCCTCCAAAACTTCCTGTGCTGCCCGGTCAGTGTGACACAGTGGTTGAGCATCAACCTATGGACCAGGAGGTCATGGTTCAATTCCTGGTCAGGGCACATGCCCCAGTTGTGGGCTTGATCCCCAGTGTGGGGTGTGCAGGAGGCAGCTGATCAATGATTCTCATCATTGATGTTTTAATCTCTTCCCCTCCCTTCCTCACTCTGATATCAACAAAAACATATTTTAAAAATTAAAAAACTCTATGCTTATTAAAGCCTTCACAAACTTATTTTCTGCCCTTGAAAGAAAGAATTAATATAAAATTAGGATAAATAAAAAACATATTAAAGTGATAGAGAGA